GGCCTGAACGCAGGTGGCTGCATAATGATGCGGCTGGGAAATGCCAGTCTGACCGACAGCAGTGTTTGCGGACAGGCAGAATAATTGAGTATCTCCACCCATCGGCAAGCCATAGGACAAGCAGATAGGTCCATCGGTGGGCTGAGTCCATCCGTTGCGGCCCGGCAAGGACCTTTGCCCCAGGGATCCAGGCTCAACAGCGCAACCGCAGTCAGCGGCGGACCTCTTTGCCGCCGGCGCGACCTCCTGTTCCCCCTCCCCTACCGCGGTCCCGACTCGGCCCTGCGCATGCAGCTCTTCGCCAACGCCGGCCGCCTCGTCGCCCTGAAGCCTTCAGCTGCTGCTGGCGGCGACAAGCAGGGCCGTCAGGGGGAGGGGCAGGGCCAATCCGCCGACATGACGCCCGCCTCCGTCGCGCGCGGCCTCGCCCACGCCGTCGGCGACCTCGTCAGCGGCCCGCCGAGCGTCGCCGCCGGCGTGGGCCTCGTGTACGCGCACCCCGTCGCGCGCTTCGAGCTCAACTTTAGCCTGCCGCTCGTCGTGCGGCGCGGCGAGGTCGGCACCAAGGGCGTGCAGGTCGGTGTCGGGATCAACTTTTTGTAGCGGGACTGGGGAGGGTTTGTAGAAGCACGGGTGTATGATAGGGATGTAGAGAGGTAGAGACTTATACCACGCCGAGTTTTGTGTACTTGGTTTCATGGATTGAGAGCTGTGGTGTGCCAACAGGGGATGTTCAGAAAGTGACCCGGCCGTAATCGGTTGGAAGCATCCGGACCACCTTGAACTACAGGACAACATGGACGGAGGTTGTCGCCAGTTGCATCTGTATCATCTGACAACATATAATCTCATCATCCTTCAACAAGGCAGCAGTCCTAGCATGTGGCATTACAGTATTTCCAGTACACAGCCTCCCATCAATGTTCAGGCACTTCGCGACTGTCAAAAGGTCAAAGACTGTATTCAGCTACAAACATCCCACCACAAGCCCGTGAAAATGAAAAAGGCCACAGCCAGTATATCGTGACAGTGCGGCAGCAACAACGCCAGCCCTATATCCAGCAGCCAGACCATCCGGGCCCGGCTGGCAATGACAAGAAAAGGAGCCCCGTCCTGGTTTTTCGAACGGCAAGCAAAACTCATCTTTCCATCCGCGTCATCGATGGAGTACCGAACCATCCTGGTCCCTGCAAGCCCAGACCCATGTCGAACGCCGGCGAGCATCTCGCGGGCGAAGAGCAGATTCGAGAAGAACTTAGTCCCAGAAGCTCATCCAGTACCACGAGCTCAGTCCGCTCGCCAGGATGATAAAAGTGACGATACCGGCGCCCGCCCTGTCCGCTGTCGTGATCGGCTCCGGGTCCTGGAACGGGTTGCTGTCCCTGCCGGCGTTGCTGTCTCCCCTCGAGGTGCCGCCGGTGTCGTTGGTCGTGGGCGAGTTCGCGCCTGCGATGAGAAGCGAGGAAACGGCGGCCAGGACGTTCATCTGCTCGCCTGCACCAGTCGTCTTGTCGACAGCGGGGTCGATAAACTCGCCCCTGTCCCAGTAGAAGCCGCACACGCGGCCCGAGGCGCCACCGGTGCACTGCCTTATAGCAGCCTGCGTCGAGTTTTGCAGCACGGGCAGAATCTTCGAAGCTGTCGAGGGAACAAGCTGCGTGACAACAGCGAGCCAGCGGTGCATGTATCCCTTGAAGGTCAACATGTCAGCACTGCAGCGGCCAGGGTCCCTCTCACAAGGAACCTCATAAGCGACACCTCTCGGGAAGAAATCGGTAAGGCAACGGTCCAGCAGCTTCTCAACGCGGTCGAGCCACTTGGCGTCCTCGGTATAGTTGTACATGAACGCGGCGCCTTGCATCAGAACGGCAATGTTGTAGGAGAAGGTGGCCTTGTTGATGTCGGTGCAGTTGTGCTCAATGTGGCCACCGTCGTAGACACGCCAGTTCTCGTGGTCGATGTAGTTCACCCCCCAGAGCCAGTCCCACGTCTCTTCGGCGGCCTGGGTGTAGGTATCGTTGCGGGTGTAGCGCGCGAGGCGAGCACCAATGTTGAAGAAGCAACCGTTGGCAATGGTGTTCTTGTAGTTGTATCCGGCGTTGGTGGAGACGGCCTGCCATCGGAGACCTCCGTTGCAGTGGTCGTCGAATCGGTCATTCTGCGTCGACCACACGGCCTGGGCGAGGGCCAGCCACTGGGGTTGATCCTCGGGGGGGTCGGGGAACTTATTCTCGGCGGCTAGCATGGCCGTCATGCCCCAGAAGCCCTGATCGTCGTTTCCGAGCGAGGCCGTGTGGTTGAGGGGCATGTAGTCGCGGTTGTCGCCGACCTGGTGCACCATGCCCTCGCGGACGACGTCGTTGTAGCTCGTGTCGCCGGTCAAGTGCCAGTAGTCGACATATGTGCCCATCATGGCACCGCCCTGCCACCAATAGTAATCGCCCTTTCCGTCGGCTGGGGGTCCTGGCAGAATACCGGGGATCATGCCGGTCTTGTTGCCTTCATAAAACAGCATCATGTCGTACGCGAGTGTGCGTGCTGTTTCACGGATTGCATCTGTACGGGTCAGCAAGAGGAGCTCGGGGAGTAGAACAGCGCGTCTACACACCATCCGAATCTATGGAGTAGCCCTGCGCCAGAGCGGACGGCAGAGCGCTGAGGGCCAATAGCGCCGCTGGGGCGACGGTCTGGAGAGAGTTGAACATGGTGTGAAGGGGAATGAGAGCAGTCGAGTGAAAGCAGTCGAGTGGGTGCGCAGGCCGCAGCGGCCGTGGGCGAAGGAGGACCGATCAAGGAGAAAATGCGAATAATACAATGACGTCGTCTCTAGGTCGTTCAGTCGTCGAGGAAATGCAGATTCAATCGGGAAAAAGCCGTCAGGGGTGAATGAGTCCGAGTCGCTGTTGGCGCTGAACTCAAGGTGCGTTTTGTCACAAAAACAAGGCCCTCGTCGTGTTGGTGAGTCGCAAGGGTGTCGAGGGAGGAGAGGAGGAAGAAGAGGAAGCGAACGGCAGTTGCAGCGTCTGGCTCTGAGCAGAGCGACGACAGACAACGGAGAGCTTGGGGTGTTGAAGGTAGGTTGTGCTGAGGTTGCTTCAACGTGGATGCACCGGGGAAGGAGAGTTGTAGGAAAGCGGGAAGAGGCACAGGAGCGATGGAATAAGATGGGGCGGGCCCCTTTTGCTAAGGTAGTGGCGGCGTGAGTGGTAGCTGCTCTGAGGTGTGTACTTGGGTAAGGGGAGGCGGGGGCATGAGCGACACGGGCTGCACCTTCAGGCAGACAAATAAAGCCTGATTCAGGGGAAAGAGGGAGCGACACGGACAAGGAAGGGGCAGCAGAAAAGGGCACCCCAAAGGCAAGAGACAGGAAAGAGCCAGGCAAGAGACAGGGAGATGACGCGGTGGGAAATGCCCAGCACCACGTAAAAGGCATGGTAGAGCCTTGGCATCCCTTGGCGTCTGGGCGTCGGGGCTGTGCAGCATTCTATTCGCCAGGACCGCCCATCACGTGGAGCTGCCGGCGTCAAACAGCAGCAAGACCACTTCGATTGACGATCCACGGCATGGAGGGAGAAGCGGTGGTGCGCAGTGCTTCTGCGGACGTTTGTCGCAGCAGACGTCGTCGAAAGAAGGGTGCGAATACCTCAGGGTCGGAACGATGAAATCCCAGCTTCCCCCACGACGACCCAGATGCGACCCCTCCCCCCCCTGGCACTAGCCCCTCACTGGCCGATACCCTAAGGTACTCGGTACATTCCAGGGGCCCCTCCCGCCAGCCTTCGTCCACGAGACAACGACAAACATGAGCATTCTACAACGTCATCTTTTCTCTCGCGCCGTCGTTTCCATGCATCCTCAGCACAGCGGTCAGGCTGCAAGTGGGAGACCACCTTGGAGCTCTGATCCCGAAATGATTGCTCTCGCGGCCCGCCCGCCGAGCCCGCTCCAGCGCTGCGCCCCCAAGACATGACAAGAGACCTCGAACAAGCCCAAGTCGCCAGGCCCAACGTCATTCACGAACTCTCAATCTCGGCTGTCGAAGGCGATGCTCTTCTCAATTCGGCCATCCGCCACACCGAGTCCAGCTCCAATACCTTGCTTGTTCCCAACTGGGGCGGAGAGGGAACGTCAAAGTAAACAAGAGACAGCAAGCAAAGCCACAAGGCCCGACCGCAGTCTCAACGACACGGTAGCGGTGACCACAAACAATTAACCTTAACGATTAAACTCACGCACTCCAATGCGCGCTATCCCCGAAGGGGGCGCGATCACAGTGTGGCGTCTGACTGGGTTCGTATTCAAGTTGCGGGTGGGAAGGTCGGATCTACCACGCCTGAGCCACCCCGTTGCACACAGTTCGAAGCCGCACACGCTCGCACCCTCGTAATCGATCCCTCGCGTTCCCAGTCCCTGCATGTCCACCATCGACAGGTCGAGACCCTTTCGCTACTGTCCAATCATCGCAATGACAACGCCCCACCGCGATCTGGAGGAACGGAGCCGCCCCGTGGCCGCTACGAACAGTTCATCTCAAAAAGGGGGGCCGTGAACTCCTGCGCATTCTCCGTCGGCTGCTCCGCCTCGAATACGAAAAAGCGAGCAAGCCGAAGGGGCACGCGGCATTCATAACAAAATGTGCTCTCAGACACCAAGACAGACAGCAAGTTATGGAAAGATTTCATTTTGACTGGCATCTATTACTCGTGTCAAATCCACTGCCTGCAAAAGTTGCAGGACTATGCAAGTCTACGCCCTCTCCTGGCAACCCAGACGCCGTCATGCCCTTCAACCCAGTCAATATAGACGACCGGTGAAGCTGGACATGATGAATAAAAGAAAACACAGTATGGACAGGATATATGTTGGGGAGACTACAAAACACATTCATGACGTGCCAAGGGGCTGTCTATGCCCGCGTGGCTTTTCTGTCTTTTTCTGTCCTCATCGGGACCAGCTTACTCCTGCTTCTTCTTGCCGAAGAGGCCACCCTTCTTGGGCACACGCGCCAGCCAGTACAGACCCAGCGCCGCGAAGACGTTGAAGATGATGAACGCCCAGCCGATGCCAAAGTTTCTCCAGCGGTCGGCGTAGTCAATGTTGAGCGAGTTCAGGAAGGTGTTTGTCTTGTCCATGGTGCACATCTGGCACTCGCTGGTCGAGTTGATGGTGGCGTCGGTGAGGTAACCACCAAACTGCTCCATCCAGGGGCCAAGGTAATCGGAGCAGGATTCGCCAGACGGTGGCACAATGCTGAGGAGCTCGTTGTCGGCGCAGACAACGTTCGTATTGGCAACCGCAACCGACAGCATACCTGCGACAATGTACGTGAACGGTGACACCCGATACATGAAGATCCAGAAGCCAGGGAGCGTATCGGGGTTGGCGAGGACACCACAGAAGATGAGGCAGAGCATGAAGAGGACGTTGGCAATGTTGGCACCAGCCTCGGCCGTCTCGAAACCGGCAATGATAAAGTCGGTGAAGGTGGAGGTGAACAGGAGGAAGATGAGCAGGAAAAGGAACATCAGGACGCCACGCTCGGTGGTCTGATCAGCGGCAATGGCGTTGTTCTGAAGGCCGACAGGGTAGTACCAGCAGACGTACATGAGCACAGCCATGAGGGAGTTCCAGGGGAGTTCCACAATGATCTGCGACAGCATGAAGATCTTCCAGCCATATACTTTAGAAGGTCGCTCGCGAACCTCATAGAGGGACCGTTGAATAACAAAGTAGGGCATAGTCTGCTGCACGAGCTGACCAAAGACGGTGAGAATGTTGAAAATGGCAAACATCTGGTTCTGAAGACCTTGCATCGAGTTAGGGGCATCGAAGAAGACGAATCCGATAAAGAGAGCGACGAGGATGCAGAGGGCGGCCTTAGAATAGATGTAGGATGGGGTGCGCCAGTACTGCTGGAACACACGGTGGGTGACCTCGTAGAGCTGGGTTCCGAAGCTGGCAGCAAATTCGCGGTACGAGGCAGTGTCCTCCTTCGAGGACGACGGGTCCTGAGGGGCACGCTCATCCTTGAGACGCTGAAGCTCGGCCTGCGTAGTGGCGTACTCGGGGCTCTGGCGCCAGGCTTCGAACCAATCGACCTCAGTGTGAGAGCCGGGGGCGGCACCGATAACCTCAAGCATCCACTCGGCGGGGTTGGCCTCGGCGGGACAGGTGGTACCGCTGATGCGCTCGAAGTAGGCAATCATGTGGCGCGAGTTCTCGCCAATATCGCCAAAGTACACGGTGCGGCCACCCTTGGCAAGGAAGAGAAGACGGTCGAAGCGCTGGAACAGCATGGCAGAAGGCTGGTGGATGGTGCAGAGAATGGCCTGGCCCGACTTGGTGAGCTTCTCGAGAAGGTCGAGGATAGCCCACGAGGTTTGCGAATCAAGACCCCGAGGTAGGCTCGTCAACGAACAGCAGCAGGGGGGGCTTAGCGGCCAGCTCGACACCGATGGTGAGACGCTTACGCTGCTCAACGTTGAGACCTTCACCGGGAACACCGACAATGGCTTCGGCGTACTCCTCCATATCAAGCAGTTTAATAACCTCATCAACGTAGGCGAGCTTCTCGGCCTTGGGGACGTGGGCGGGTTGACGGAGGAGAGCGGAGAAGTTGAGTGCCTCGCGGACCGTGGTAGTCTCAAGGTGAAGATCCTGCTGTTGGACGTAGCCAGTCTTGCGCTGGAAGGATGTATCACGCTGGTAGCCGTCGACAAGCATCTCGCCGGTAATGACACCCATAGAGGTACGGTCGGCCAAACAATCGAGCAGAGTGGTCTTGCCAGCACCAGAGACACCCATCAGAGCCGTCAGAGTGCCAGGCTTGACCCAACCATCCACGTTATCCAGGATACGGCGCGTCTCCTTCTTAATCTTGACCTCGTAGCAGACGTTGTTCCAGTGGAAGATGGAGGTCTGCCTCTGAATGAAGCCGGCGTCCTGGCCCTTCTCGGCAACGCGAGCGCGCTCAGCAGTGGTGACGGGACCGACGCGGACCATGTCCTCGGGGTCATCCTGGGCATGCTTCTCGTTGAAGGCAGAAGGCTTGTATCCACGACGGAACACGAGAACCTCACCCTTGGACTTCTTCTCAGACACAAACTCGGCGGCCACCATGTAGACGACGAGGAAGCCGAGCATGAAGGCGATGAGAATGCCAAAGTTGCGCCAGCGGTTGGCCCACTCGTATCCGAAAGACAGCGAGGCGTACGCGTCGCCGTTGACAAAGTCATTGCCGGGAATGGATCCGACGGCAGTGCAGACACGGTTGTCGTTGCTGACACTCTCGTAGCCGGCGGCAGGGTCGGTGGAGGGAACGTAGTTGGTGCAGATGAAGTTGCGGTTGTGGAACTCATTCACGACGAGAGCCTCAAAGGCGTAAGCCAAGGGGTCGACATAGTTGAGCCAGCGGCACCAATCCAGCATGTAGGGCGTGGGAATGACGAAACCGGTGAAGATGACGAGGATGAGAATCAGGATGGCGGCGGGGACCATGGCTTGCGAGAGAGTGCGCGACGAGGAGGCGATCGTGCGGAAAATCATAGACATGGCCAGGACCGTGAAGAACGAGATGAGCAGGAAGAAGAAGAAGGCACCCGCCTCGCGCCGCAGATTCGTAATAAAGTAGAGCGTGATATTGAAGACGAGACAGTTGAGCAGTTTGTACGGCATGTCGACAAGCATGGACGCAACGGCTTCGGCAGAGGGATGGTATAGAGCGTATCGACTGTGCTTTTCAACAATGGGACGTTGGGCGTACAGGGTCAGAATCTACATCGCTCATTAGCATTCCATCTCTAGGGCGTACGGTGCTTGGGGCAACTTACTTCGAGAGCACTGGCGAAAGCGTTCATGAGCAGGGCGAAGAAGAGAAGGGCACCGCGCTGGAAGAAGCTTGCGGAGGTGTCCTGGAGGTTGTAGAAGACGGAGCCGATGATGAGGGCCATGACAGTGTTGCCAATCAGCGAACCCACGGTGATGGAAGGGTCGCCGATGAGGCGCTGCCAGCCACGCCACAGGCACAGCTGCACCTGCTGCATGAAAGAGAGGGTGAAGGGGCTCTTGACACGCTGACCCTTGGCCTGCTGGGCGTGCTTGTGGGCACGGAAAGCCTCGGCGTCGGGGCCGTTGAGAGGGTGCTGCGTCTTGTACTCCTCAATCTCGGCCTGAAGGGCCTTGTAGTTGGGGCTGTTCCTCCAGGCGGTGGCAAAGTCGTCGGGCGTGCGAGGGGTGCGGCCCTCGAACCCGTCACGCACGATACGCTCCTGAGGACTGGTCATGGAGGTGAGGAAATCAGGCGTCGTGGCGCGAGGCGGGCAGTAGAAGCCAAGGTCGACGAAGTACTGGCGGGCCTCATCGGCACGTCCGAAGAAGATCTGGCGACCCTCGTACAGAACGGTGGCCTTGTCGAACAGGTCGTAGGCACTGCCAGGGGCCTGGTAGATGGAAACGCAAGCTGTGGTGTTGAACAGCTCCGTCTCGAGGCGAAGGGTCTTGCAGAACTCGACGGCGTTGGCAGAGTCGAGACCACGGGTCGAGTTGTCCCAGCACTGGAGAGGGGCACCAGACAGCGCGGCCTCGGCAATGGTGACACGCTTGCGCTCACCACCAGAGACACCACGAATGTACTCGTTGCCGACGCGGGTATTGACGGTGTGCGAAATGCCGAACATGGCCATGACGACATCCCTGAGATGCGAGGAGAAGTCGTTCTTGTTGAGGCCCTCGGGCAGGTGGCGGGGCTGACGAGCGCGAGCGGCGAAGGTGAGCGTGTCACCAACGCTGAGCTGGGGGAAGTGAACATCGACCTCGGCAGTGTAGATGGCCTCGCCGCGGTGGTTCGTGTGCATCTCCTTGGCGGTGACGCCCTGGTAGTTGAAGTAGGAGCTTTGATCCGAGTGCAGACCGTTCATCTCGCCAGCAATCGTCTTGAGGAAGGTGGAGCAGCCAGAACCAGGGGGGCCGAGGACGACGAGCATCTCGCCGTTGCGAACAATGCCGTCGAAGCTACGCAGAATGTCGATGCGCCTCTGGCCGCCACCGACGAGAGAGCGGGCCATGCCGGCGAGAGAGAGCCAGATGTTGGCGACATCCTTCTGGTAGTCGGTGGCCTGGCCGAAACCGTAGACGTTGAGGTGCTGGAAAGCGACACCTGCCTTGCGGAAACCCTGGCCGTTGGCATTGACCATTTCGACGACGGCCTTGGCCCAGCTGCGAGCGCTGAAGTTGGCCGAGGCAGGGTTCAGGAACGAGTCCTCCTGCTGGGCGGCGAGGAAGGGGTTGGTGCCGGCGGGGAGCTTGTGAGATGTGTGGGAGTACTTGCGCGCCAGGGATTGGACGATGGAAGAGCGGCGCTCCATCTCGGAATCGTCGTCGATGGGCTCCTCAGCCTCGACGGCGTCGCCGTTGACGGGGCTCGACTTTTCGCGACGCGTCGTGTCGCTGTGGGCGACCTCGGTCAGCGAGGTAGCGCGCGTGGCGGTGGTGTCGTGAACATCCTGCTCGAGCTCGGCGTGGCCTGGGCGGTCGGTGACAGGCACGCCGGTGCCCTGGGCGGTACCGTCATAATTCGTAGGGATACCGTTGATCCCCGGGACGGACATGGTGGGCGAATTCGGTTGCGACAAGTCGCTCGCCACGGATGCCGTTGGGGTGGTGTTTCGGTTGGTGTTATCTTCACCTTCTTTCCCTCTGTACCGTTGCTTCTGTCCAGCGATACTTGTGATGTGTGGATATTAAGAGTATTATTATAGTGGGGTTGGGAAGGGGGGAGAAGAAGGGAGGGGGGAAGGAGCGTCGTGAAGAAGGGAAGAGGGGTGAAGAGGAAGCTGGTAAG